GCCGTGACCGATGCTTGCCGCTTTCGAAACTCGAGCACCACGATCGTCCGACAAATCTCGGATGCCGGGTGTTCGTCGCGCAATCGAGCCTCGTCATCGTTGCTTCCGCCTTTCTCTTCGTTGCCGTAGCGGCCGCTTTTCTTTTGCTGGATTCCTAAATCGATGGCGGCTCCTTGTCGCAACGATGCACAAAGCCGTGCTGCTGCTCGGGTCATCCACTCGACTGCTCGGGCAGCAGTATGCTGACCGATTTGCGATTCGCAGATCCGTTACTGGCGTTGTTCGTGTTGTTGACCGTGGCGAGGGCAGGAGGCGGTCGATGCGATGGAGCGACCACTCGTACTTCCGGTCGCGGCGAAGCTTCCCTCAGCGGGCTTCCTACATTCGCTAGGTCCTCTGCGCTCGTCAGCGTGGCCGTCCTGCGATAAATAATAGTCTTGATTAATGAAGTCATGAAAAGTGGAAGAAGAAAGTATAGAAATCAATGTATATATCGTTTATACTATATATAGTTAAGGAAGCTATGAAAAGTCAAGGAAAAATTCTCCAGGTTATTGTGTGTCTTATTTGTAGTATATATAGTAAATAGTATTTATAATATTTATAGTATATGTAATTAACGAAGGTAGGAAGAAGAAGAGAGAAAAGTCTACAATAGGTATATAGATAAATAGAATATATATAGATATATAGATACAAGTATATAAGGCTACAAGTCGATCGGTTTAAGCAGTTTTATTATTATACAGTTAATAGTTAATAGAAAATTCTAAAAGTGAATGGATATCTCACTTATAGCATAAATAACATGTATAATATGTATGTAGATAATGAAATTACGAAGAATCAAAAGTGGAAGGCTACAAATCGATCGGTTTAAGCAATTTTATTATTATACAGTTAATAGTTAATAGAAAATTCTAAAAGTGAATGGATACCTCACTTATAGCATAAATAACATGTATAATATGCATATAGATAATGAAGTTAAGAGGAATCAGAAATGGAAATCTACAAGTCGATCGGTTTATGCAGTTTTATTATTATACAGTTAATAGTTAATATATTTTTATAATAGTTAATATAATATATATTTAGTATTATACAATTAATAATTAATAGAAAAGTCTACAAGTGAATGGATATCAGTTATACATAACATGTATAATATGTATATAGATAATGAAGTTACGAAAAATCAGAAATGGAAATTTACAAGTCGATCAGTTTATGCAGTTTTATTATTATACAGTTAATAGTTAATATATTTTTATAATAGTTAATATAATATATTTTTAATATTATACAGTTAATAGTTAAAATATATTATATTATATATTATATTGTTAATAGTTGATGAAAGGTAATTTTTAGCTGTATATAAATATATTCTGTATCTCGAACATTAACCCATTTTCCCGCTTTTCGAGCATCTCGATGAAAATGCCTAATAGATGGGAGAAGACTCAATGTTTCTAATTATTTTGTTAATGATAATTCTATCAATAACGAAGTTATTGGTAAACATTTCTTGACCCAATGTGAAGATAATTTTCTCTTTTTATTAATGCAATTAGCTTTCGAAATATCGATTTCTTTATTTTTTAAGTTTTAGTTATGTTTCTGTAAGCATGAATAATTTAAAATATTACTGGCACGAACATATTTTAGCACATAAAATTTCCTCACATTATTACATTGTTGAAAGATATTTGCGAATTTACAAGGACATATATTTTGCAAATAGTAAAATCACGGACATCGAAGATATTTTGTCGTTCGAAATATATATAACTTTCAATATTTGGACGAAATATCAGATTCAGAGGAATATTGAAACATTTTATTTATCGTGGATGATAAGAATTCTACCCTACGAAGATTTCAATTCGAAGATAGATGAACAGCCGTCGTAAAAAAGGAATTGAACCGTGTTTCCGCTGACACGTAGATTCTGTACGAAATGTGATCGAAACCGCGTAATAAACAAAGGAAATATAATACATTGATTTTATATATTAATTGTTAAATACAGATATACGTATTGTTTTACAGATTTTATTAAATTTCTAAATAATAATCGCAACTTCTCACGAATATTTCTATAATTCACTATTAATTATATAATTATAATTTGTTAATTCTATAATGTGTTACATTAAACGTTTCTTGCAATTATTTTTGGGAAACTACCGTAACGTTTCATGATACTATCAGATAACAAGAATAATTAGAAAATAACGAAGAATAATAAAAACTCAATTAGTATCTGCAGTATGTGCCAGTGAAAATTAATTTCTTTTACACTTGTATTATAATTCGAAGAATTAAAAAATGGCAAGAAATAGGCAAAATAAGTAAACAAAAATATAGCTGGAAGACCTAAATAAATTATATCCACCTTAAATAATGTTAAGATTGAAAGGGGAGTGTAAAATGTGTTAAAGAATCTTACAAATCTTTAGATCATATATATATATACAGGGTGGTTGGTAAAAAAGAAGTTGAAAATATAGAATAAAAATTTTTTTTTTTTAATTTTTCCATCGAGACGTTATAACGAGACGTGATAAAGTGCACGCGTACCGAGCGAAAATTCAAAGTCGATTTTCTCGAAAACAAAGCCTCAAACGAAAAATTTTTATTCTATATTTTCGACTTCTTTTATCGCGTAGAATCACCACCTTTCCGCTTGTACCACCAGTTACCAACCACCCTCTATATACAGCTATAACTCTTCTGTAAATGCAGAAATACAGAATTTATTATATAATTTAATCTTTTCTTTTTGCGTGTGTAAGTTTAACGTCACATTGCTTCGCGAGAGACATTCTGTATTCTAGTAGCATTGCATTCGATAATTTAATTGCTTAAATCCTTTAAACCTTCTAAATAATTGCAAATTTGTAGAGCCTGTATCGTATTTTATTCCGAGATTTGCAAGCAATTTCCCAGGCTTTGTTCGTTCGCTTCTAAATGACTGCATCGCTTTAACGCGGTTCTCGGTCTTCCTTAGTCTTATAGCGACGACAAGAATTGCTCTGGCGTTCTATGAAAATCAGTTTTCTTTAAAAGCGAGACGACAATAGCCGCAGAAGAAAACCATTAACAACTGAAAGTCGTTCAACAATTGTGCTTTCGAGACAAAGATATTCCATCGAATTATGAAAAAAGTAGGAGTTTGAGAATAAATTCGATCGGTAATTGCATGTCCGTATAAAGATAACGAAGGCCAAGAGTATAAAATCGACGTATAAAATCGAGCTATGAAAATCCTAAATGAAATTAGTAGAAGCCTTGATATATGTAACTTCTGAAACGGATGACGAAGTGACGAAAAGATGACTTGTTGAAGATTACATCACGCGATTGTATCGATAAAAGTATTATTAAAAGGCGATGGAACTTTAATATCTCGAATGATTTATATTGTACGATTTTTTTATATGTATTTATAATATTATAAATATTATACTGTGCTGTTACACGTACGTATTCCAGATTATGATATTAGGTTGTCCGAAAAGTTTCTTTCGTTTCATAAGGAATAAGGATAATAGATGAACAACAATTTCTGTTTTATATTATTTTATTAGCGACAGATATAGCAAAAGAGTCAACAAACACCGAAATCCCCTAATCACTGGGCTACTTGATACGACGGACCAGATTCGCAGGCTGAAGAGGCACTACCCGTTAGACCTAAACGCTAGATTCAATTAGTTACCTAAATTAAGTAATATTCACTTATTTATAACACTCACTTATAAATTATACTTATCTATAATAAGTATTAACTTATTATAAATAATCAGCCATGTCACTGCGCCACGCCAGAAAAATTACTGAAAATTCTCAACGCGAGAATTGATTGTAATTTTAATGAATAAATAAATAAAAAAAAAAATATTTTTTTATTGAATTAGGTATGATCCATTTCGTTCTATTTCTATTATTATGTTCGTGCATAGTTCAATAAACTAATATAAAACAAAAAACATTGTGCGTCTATTACTCCCTTATGAAACGAAAGAAACTTTTCGGACAACCTAATACATTGATCTGGATGAACACGGGCTTGCTCGACCAGGCAGGCGTCATCGATCTCACGACGATGGATAACGCGACGCGACTGTGAGATTCACGTGACAAAGGCCGATGCAGGAAGCACGTGGTCCATCACACGCATTCGAGTTCGATAGCTCGGTTGAATATGCAACGGCGACGCCTTGCAGTTCGCATTCTAGATAGGTCAATATTCTTGCAAGCGCTTTGTGCGGCGCGCTTTTCGCTGATCGTTTATCTTGTAGCGTATGGCATCGCGCTCTAAGCATCCGCAGAACGATGAATATTAATCATCGGCGACGCGTACCGCGGGATATCGATACTGGCAACCTGGTTACTATTTTTTCCCAATGATTTATCGCATGCAACGAGAAATCGAATAACAACCTTGTTGCATACTTGCGATAGCTATCTCATAGATATAAGAAAGATCGATGATTTATCGTTTGCAATTGTTTAGCGTTAATGGAGCGTGCGAATATGTTTCCAAAGCTGGATAAGTATTATTAATAACTATTATTTCCATATGCTTCATCATTCTTGGAAAAGAGTTTAAACAGACAGTTGAACTCTGTTATGTAGAACCAATCTTCAAAATTACGAAAGATTAGTTAAACACACCTGTTATCTAAAAATTTCCAACATATACAACGACCCTTACATTGTAAAATTACTAAAAGTATCGAGCCTTAGTTCCTTTTTGGTTGTATAGTTACTTTGCAGAAAGCTTGCAAACCACGTGATCGCCCATAATAATCGTCCAATGCTTTTGAAATGATAAATATTGTTATAATAACAATATATAACGTTTTATTAAATACAAAATTTATATAGAACATAATAACTTATTAAGTATTAACTAATAAAGTATTAACGAACACCGCTCTATTCTCTTACACATCTCAAACAGGAATGAATTTGTATATTGCACACTTATTCGTTCAATACATACGCGATGCGTTCGTCTCATGGCGTTTTCCTTTCGTCTTGCTCTCTTTCATTTCTCGCTCGTACAATACAGATGTACACACATCTATTTTCTAACAAATCTAAAGAAAGTTACTCGCGACAAATGTCCTAACATTATGGACGTTTCTATTTAGCGATATTATTGAGATATGTGTACTTTTGTGTGCTACACTGGATTAGCCGCGTGAAGTGACACACATATATGAGTATGAGTGTGTGAAGTATGTGCGTGCGCAGCGTCTCGTAAAACAGAAGAATGCAATGTTTCGTACGTATAGTGGCAGAAAAAGATGGCGTGAGAAAAGGAGTGCTGAGACGCGTACAATGTTTATCTATCTAGTGTCTTGTAAATCACATATTATATAAATATTAAATTATTTTAATATCATTTCTACATGTAATGTGAGTGTTCCTATACATTTATTTCAGCGACTAAGATCCACGATTCTCAACAGATATTATGGCCGAATGGCAAATTCGTGTCAGAGGAGAAACTTAACCTTTCGCACTCGAGGACTTTTTTGGTCGAACGTAGCAGCTACTTTGGATGATTTAGCGTGTACGTGACGCGTGTATCACAGCTAACGTAAAGTTATTTTATATACAAATTAACTTACAAAAATATCATATTCCAATAGTTCATCTATATTTACATCTTTGAGAATATGATCTTGTAATATTAATTTCTGTATTTTATTTTTTGTACGATAATTTATGAAGCATTCGCTAAGATGCATTCTTGAATATAATTGATCTCATTTTTCAACAGTTTAAAACCAAGTTCATTTTTATTTGAGCTAATTTCACTTCTGAAAATCATTTTTTGAGGATTTCTAAACTATAATACTTTCGCCATGATTCGGAGGGATATGGGATAAAATATTTTATCTCCATTTTTAAAGTCTAACACTTTACACTTCTTAACAAAGAACATAAAGAGGTAAGCAACCAATTTACGAAGCAATGTTGCACTCATTAATTGGAGATGTCGAAATCTAGCATAAACAGAGACTGTCACCTCTAAAGTGCAACACCGCCTCTCAAGTGCAAAAGGTTAAAAATTTACGAGAAACGATGCATCTCGTTCCAGCAGATTGTGTACATTTCTACGATAATTTCAATTAGCGACAGAAGGATTGTTAGAGTCGCAAATGGCTTCAACGTAGAACGCCTTGATTTTAATGCGGATAATAATCGAATTTCCTGAATAATACTAATCCACAAAAAGTAAGCAATATTTAAAATAATATTAACTACGTTACACGCTATTTAATCAGCCACGGAAAAAGAAAAAAATATTGCGAAACAAAGAGCAAAAATAAAATACACTCGATATAGGCGAAGCTGAATTGTGTTGAAAATCAAAATGTTTAACCTAACTTTTCTCGGTTTTAGGTCATTATAGGTAGGTAGGTTTCTGCACAAAAGAGTCCAATTATCCATTATATCAACAAGTCTCAACATTCGGTGGAATAGTTTTCAACGCCTATTTAATATGCTAATTCTTCAGTACACTAATTCTTTACTAAATATACAAGCTATTTGCAAAATTTTAGTACAAGCGGAAAGAAGCTTCCGAAGATTATCTCCATTTAAAAAAAGCTGAATTTGAATATTCGTTAAGAACGTACTCATCTCCTGCCCACAAAGCTCCACAATTTTCGGAACACCTTGTACATATTCAAACGTTAAATTTCACAAATTCAAGTTAAAACATCTTCTAAACTAAAATAACTTTTCCACACAAATAAGTTAACTTCTTTTTTATAGGAAATACCTATATGAACTATACGATTCCATTAAAAAAAGGAAAAGCGTGTCACCTTCGTATGACCTTGGCTGTCTACAAAAAAAGCTAATTACACCGGATTATGTCTGCTCCGATACCATACAACCTCTGTTCGTAACATCTTCTCGTATTTTCGATACTTAAAGAAGTAATCGCGTGTGTGTACTTAAAAAAAACATACCGTGTATAAAAGTTTCCTAAGTGGCGATTTTCTAAGTTTTCCGTATAGTAGCCACTGTGCGTAACATCCGTAAAAATGCGATTAATTTCTATCGAGCGACACGTGCGATTTTGCTGCCAGGATATTGGAAAATTTTCTTTTATTCGAAACGAATTTGACAGTCGAAAATCGAGCAGCTTTGACGGTTAACGAGAATATCGTTTACGCAGCTATACAGTTAATCGCGATAACGTTGTTATCACATTTATATCGTATTGCTGCGTCGTTTAGGATGGCGCTGTTGATTTTCACGTATAATATCGTCAGAGGCGTGTAATGCAGCGCGTTAGGTTACGTAGATGCATTTGACGAGTCCCCCAGTCCAATTAAGTATTCAATTTCGCCTATCGATTTCAATTTCTCATCCCTCGCCCTCGACGACGATGTGACTCGGCCGTCGCCTTCACTTTCCCGTCGAAATAATCATCGTCGGCTGGACGAAAAAGAAATTTCATCGCGGTCTATCGAAGTATCGTTGAAACGTAAAACGTAAAGTCGTCCGTTCTTTGTTGTTTGCTTTCGTTGCGGTTTCTTTGGCGCTCCAGAGATAATTGAGAGATAGTGGAACGAAAATATCGTGGAAACGCGACAATTGTCTTGGTAGATTAGCTTTGTTCTCGCTGACAAAACCTTTTTCGCAGAAAAGGAATATATACTTATTCGTTTCCTTATGATTTATATTTTTTATATTATTGATTTATATTATTGATAGTAATATTTGGTACACGAAATCATCACTTATATTTTTCTAGGGAAGCTGGTGCATGTGCAATTGAAGAGTCATTTAGATTAGTCATAAGATTGATAAATCGCTAGCAAAATTGTGAGATGCTAAGAAATATGTAAAATCAGTTCTCAGTCCCGAGGCCTCCGAGTCCTCAGTTCTAAGAAAATATTCTCAAAAAAGAAGCAGCGACTGATCAACTTTATCAATATAGGTAAGGCGCCACTAAAATATAGTTATCACGTTATACACGTAGGAAATCATTAGGTCGCTACGTACATTCTGTCTACCTCTTCCTTTTCCTTTTGCAAATACAAAAGCATCCGCGATATCGTCATAAATAATAAGCGAAAATACGTGATAAATATTTGAAATCAGCATAAAGTATTTTGAAAAATCAAATTCGTAGGAGATTCAGTGGATAAAATTAATTTTACGAATTTATGTTATATATAATTCGTGGATACTTGGGTGGATAAAATTAATGTTAAGAATTTATGTTATAATACGATATATAATATATTTCTAATATAAATTTCTACATATATTACATATAATATAATTCTAATATTAATCTGTATTTGTACATTGATCCCTCAACTGGTACACTCAATCGCATTACGTTTAATGACATTACTAGTAAGTCATTGTATGTGTACGTTTTTTTTCTTTTGTACTGACAAACTTTATTTGCATTTTCACTTTCATTCGCGTAAATTGAAGGACGGGTGTGTATATCCCGGTTGAGATGAATTATTCTTCTCTACAATGTTTACGTTTAATATTTACATACACAATATTTACATTATTTACGTACATTACATTACGTTTACTGACATTACTAGTAAGTCATTGTATGTGTACGTTTTTTTTCTTTTGTACTGACAAACTTTATTTGCATTTTCACTTTCATTCGCGTAAATTGAAGGACGGGTGTGTATATCCCGGTTGAGATGAATTATTCTTCTCTACAATGTTTACGTTTAATATTTACATTAATAGCAGTAGAACATTAGCACTAAAACACACACGGCCATGTCATATTGATACTGTCTATATCTCGGTGTTTCCCAAATGTGCACCATAGACAATTAATCATTCCATAAAATATCTGCAAAAATTTCATTCGAAAAACACGTTAACGTACGCGTACTCGAATTACGAGATTCTTTTTGCAAGGAGATTGGTCATACTGTTGTAGAAAAATAGCAGCTGGAAAACAGGATAACAATACCCAACATTTCTACGCGTTCACAAAGTCGAAGAGAAACTGGTACTGTTGTTGGTAACATGCTCCTCTCGTTCACCTAGCCCCCTTTTCATTCTTTTTACGAAGCTGTATGGGATCGAGGGTACATTCAAATAGAAAGTTTAACACACACGAGTAGTTGACAGTAAACGTAGACGAAGCCTCAGTTACTATTAGCCACGATCATGTCGATAGCCAAGGGATACAGTGAATGGATGCAGCTTTGCTTGCGTGCACGATAAAGCACGAGAGGTATATTAGTAGATTTTGAACAGTATCAGTGTACTATATCAGTGTGGAATACAATTCTGAATAAATAACGAAGTACGTGCACTTGTACTGCGCTGCATTCACTGTACCATCGATACAGCTTTTATGTTTGTTATATACACGGAAATCATTATGTCTTGGAAATGAACGCTCGAAATAAGATTCTGAACGCTGGCGAAGTTTATTGATTCGTACGCTGAACATGTACTACGCGTACAGTGCTGTGAATAATTGCAGACGTATTTTCAAACGTATTTTCCGCATTATTTCTTTGATATTTCCAAGAAACCATTGTTCATATCTGAATATTGTTCAGTGAAGTTGTGTTTGTAAAGGGTAGATTGAACGCTATGGGATACGAAGCAATGGTACATGGCGAATTATTGTCTTTCATTGGCGAAATAAGAGACAAAAGACAATTTTTCAGCGAGACTGGAGCGACTTTGAAGCTTTCAAAATTTCCGAATAGAATACGAAAGTTTACAATCAGAGGAAGCTACCTGTGAAAAATATCGCGCAACTTGGAAAAAAGGTAAATTCCCGCGTGGGCGGATATTCGAAACGGAACTTTAAATAAGTTAGCGGATAGCGTGCTTGGCAGATTAGTAAAAGTAATTAAAAATAAAGGAAAATCCACTAAATATCGAATGAGAAGGTAACGAAATTAACATTGAGTTTATATGTGTTCAGAACGAGAAATACAATTTTAGAAGAAAATTTAACTGTTTGCTGTATCTTCTGTTTTCTTTCATATTGTAATATGAAATTATATAAGCGATTTCACCGATTTTTGTTTTAATATTACAACAAACTTCAAAATAGGGCTGTGTTTATAATCAGTCGCTGTACATCGAACATAAATGCGTTCCTCATCCACAAGATTGCAAACAAATTGTTCAGAGCAAACCTGCCAAGGATCCACAGGAACCTATAAGGAATCATCATACATAAAAGATGGATTTTTCATAACAAAAACGCGAAGGATATAAGCAAAACGTACATCACGTGTCTAAGAATTATCTACTAGATAAAAAAATGAATAATCTAAATTCTTCAGCGAAATTGAAAATTTATTAAAAAGGAAATACAGTCAGTTTTTCCGTCAAAATATACGCCGTTGTTTTCTATAATTTCAAGTCATGTTACCATTTTAATGAAGTCCATCGTGGAGAAATGTCGCGTCTATGGCAAGTGCCAATCGTCGTCGAGTCATATTTGTGTTTCATCTACTAATTGGAAGTGGATATTGGATAACGCGTGTTGCATCGATCAGAAATAATCTAATAATCCAAAGGAGGAAAATGTCTAGCGAACATACTGGCTGCTGCAACGTTTTCCAGCCAAGATTTGTCGTGATGTCTTTTGTGGCAGAAGCACTCGGAAGAAGTTGTCACGCAGTAATTTCACAGAACGTTTTGCTTTGTCAATACGCTGTCGATTGGATTCTGTTTAATTCTTTGAGCGCTGCATTGTCCGACGTTAAGCGTGCGCCGTGGGCTGCGTATTTTTTACGGAACAGCGTAAGTTGAGCAGACTAAATTTTCATTGCAAAATAATAGGTCATCCCATAAGTTCGTGCCGTTTTTCGAGCGGTTATATATGTTATTTTTTTTAAACACCTATGAATCGTTGTCTTAGGTATTTTCAGAACATTTGACATCTCTTGAACTGTCAAACTTCGTGATTTTTCAACAAGATCCCGAATTTTATCTTCGTCTGTGTGAGGAGGACGCCCGGAGCGTTCCTCCTCTTTTAAACAGAAATTCCCAGCTCTAAAACGTTGGAACCACTTCCTACAGGTGCGAGATGAAAGCGCATTTTCTCCGTAAACAGCACATATGTTTTTCGTGGCAATTGTTGCAGAACTTCCTTTCCGAAATTCATATAACACGAGATGTCGAAAATGGATACGCATTTCACTCGTGATTTTTTACTGTTAGAAGTCACTGTGTTCACTATATTACGATCTTATACTCACGAAAATCTGTTCTAGCCTGTTGTCGATCAACTAAGCTCAAGTGCATTGGTCCCTTATCGCCGTATGTTTATAAATCGACACATGAAATGTACACACAAAAATCGGCACGAACTTATGGGATGACCTAATATATCGATTGTAACTAAAATAAATTATGTAGTGAGCTCAAAAGCTTTAATTCATTAAGCAATAATAACATGAACGATATAAAAGTTTGAAATTATATCTTTTAAGTTGAAAATTTAATAATTTTGTATTGTATGGTAAATATCAAAGCAAGGTTCAATACATAAGCCAATGTTACATTTTTTGCATTCGTAACACGAGTCAGTCCTGCGATTATGTTTAGTGCAAACAGCGCATCTTCGTCGTGAAGAATGTTTATTATTTTCTTTAGTTATGCAGATGTAGGGAAATGCCTCTCCATTAACCGAAATGGAAGGTCGTCCAAATGAACTCTTCCTCTTTTAGCCTTCACTCTGTGTGGTGGGTACTTTTGCAAAATATCTTTTATGAGAAGCAGATGAAAATTTTCAAGTATTCCAGTTTTATTATTAGCATTTTTCTAAAGAATATATGCACTGTATATAGCAAGGTCTAAGAGGAGGACAAAATATTTTTTATAACCATTTTGTGCTTTTTCAAAAGCAGTGAAGTGAAATCAAAATCATATTGATTTTATCAACTGCGTCCATCAAGGCATTGTAGTCTGCTACACACTTTGGTTTTCGCTTTGTTTTGCCAGTTTGATAATTAATATCTTTTGTTTCAACGAAATCATCAGAATGTGAGGTGGATAACATAACATGGTCCATACGTCTTTTATATCACGCTTATAGCGCTCAAAGGGTTGTAGCGGCACATGAGTAGAGAACAATTCAAATCATATTGTTGTTTTGTCTCGGAGTTAGCGAATACGTTTGTACGAACGTCTCTCGACATTATTTATATCTATTAATTTATTTAATTATTTTAAATATATTTGAGAGGTTGCGACAGCAAGTTCTCGTTATCCTATATTATAATCCTCTACAAGTCCTCTACAGGATTAAAGATATTTTTCCACGATCCAAATCATTCAGATCGAAGCGCCTTAAAGTTACAGAAAGCAACGACAAACATATACCTTGATCGAACAACTTGCGATATTTTTCTGTTAACAAGCTTCGAAGTTTACTTTGAAATATTTATATCACTCATTTATATCATTGATTTTTCTCTAACGATTTTATTTCTTCTCTTAACATTTCCTACCTTTCATTAATAATTTACTGGAGCGCTGTTACATTGCCGAGAAAAATACTGTTTGTTACGCCACGAGGCTTACCACAGACTGTATTTTCTAACCGTCGCTCGCGGTCCTACAGCGTCGCAGGCAGACCTTCTTATCTGCCCACCGGATCATATACAATGTATCGACGAGAGCATAGTTGTCGCCAAGCAGCGAGCTCTAGAAACATCGATTTTTGACCGTTATGTTTTTCACACAAGAAGAGGCATACGTGATCATAGGCGCGAGCGGTGGCGTGACCCGAGCATAGTGGGGGTTGTCTTCCAAATGAGACAAAGGAATAATCGAAGGGCGATCAGTTCCTTCTGACGAGTCTAACGTGACACTTCGACAAATCTGACGAGCAAACGAATTTATCTAGAGATATCGCAAAGTCGAGTCAAATTTCTGTAACATATTCATCATATTATTGTAAAATATATTATTCTATGTTAACCTGTTAATACAGTGTTACATTCATTAAACCACCTCTGTTATCTTAACCGAAACAGGGGAACGACTATTTCGCGGCGTCGATTAACATAATCGTAGCGAGAATTTACGCCTCTCGCTGACACGTTTTCCTAGCGACCGCGTCTCCGCGAACGGTCGTAACACTGTTATAGGTAAATAACAAATAGTAATAATTCTATATGAAATAGTACCAATAGTAATAACAAGATAAATAAACCAACACTGGACTGTTCGCAGAATAAATTCAGCGTCAAATCAAATCTTGCAATTCGGAGAAATTCTTCTTATTCGGACCGACAATATTCAAGATCCAAATATTCGACATTTCAACTGCAACCAAAAGTCAATGCAAATGGCTGTAAGGTTAACGCATGCAAATTAATTCTACAATCATGAACATTCGATGCATCCTAATTTCCTTCCACCTTACTTCGATAACAATCGTCTTCGCTTTGGTCCATCTTCAAAATACATAGTCTTCGGTATACCAGATATCAATCTGGTTTCTTCGTACTTTCTTTCGATTCGCTGTTACTTTTTTCTTTTTTCGAACGTGCGCGTATCAGATTCGTTAAAATTTCCGATCCTAGGTCAATGATTTTTCATTTATCGCATACCCTTTCTATATACCGTTTTCTAGTATCCACTCGCAGCGAACTGTGTTTGCTGCGTTACGGTATAGTGATTTATATCATGGCTCTACCGGTGCATCAATAATGCTGGAAAAAGGAACATCAGGTGAATATATAAGAGCGAGTATGCGTCTCGCCTCGCTTCGATGGCTTTCGTATTTTTCCTCTGTTATTACGGACCACTTCACTCTAATCGAAGCCTTATTTCGTAGCGAACAATACGCGGAATATAAAACCGCGGGTGTAGAACACGATGCATGTGTTGAGGAAAATATTAGGTTGGTATGATCACTAGTTCCTATATGCAAAGTTGGTACGACTTCTAACGACGCTCTTTTGTTTTGGCGTCCGCCATGTGTTAATTATTTGAGTGTATCCGGTGTGTTCATATGGCTGGTGATGAAATACAGAATATAAAAACTAAATCTGTGCGAATCAATTAAATATCGAACTCCAAAACCTATTTAATGACAGCATGGAATGGATATTGTACAGATCGTTTCAAAGAGTAGATATGGCTATAGTTTATAGACGAATATGAATATGCTATGTACGTATTTATGCGTCAGGTTGCCTTGTAAATTGATGTAGATTCTGCTGCTCTTGTTAAAAGTACACGAATCGTAAGGAATGTTCTATGCAGGTAGAATTTAGAAGAATTTCATTTGCTACTCGCGTGACAAGAAATTGTACGAAAATCTAATGGCTGGTAAGATTTGGATTTATCGTAACAAGAAGCGTGAACAAATTGAGAGTTTTGTTATTGTTAAAGATATGCTCGCCAGGGACTGACACGTGTGTCCAAGAATGAACTTTTTTATTTAATTTAATCTACAGCAGATATCGTAAGATGTACGTAAGAGATGTAGGTAAGTTCTCAAACATCTGCGTTACTATTTTATGATAGATATAATCACAGCTGATACAATAAAAACGTATAAAATTACGCGATTTACTTTTACTGGTAGGATTCATTTTTTGGTAATCATTCCTAGAAATTAAAGTTCAGAAACCAGACAGTTTTACAATGTACACAGTTTCGTACGTATCGTAAAACTGGTTACATTTTTGACACTGATCAGTCTTCATACAAACACACAACAAATACGGTATACAGTATATAAATAACAATAAACATAAATAAAATAAAAATAACAGATAAAATGAATAAATAGAAGTGAAAAAATATATGTTTCATTGTAAAGCAATTATATTGTTCGTGCTAGTAAGTAAATATCATATGTAAAGTATTCTATTTAAAAAACCGACATCTTCCTTTCTAGCACATGCAGATGGACGGCTTGGTGTGTGATTACCGACAATCATTTCGCCGACAAAATTTACATCGACACCAGTTTGACTGACACCAGTTTCACCCACATTGTTTATTCGCCGACATGTACAAATCACCGACAATGTTTTCGTCGCGTTCGTTTCACCGGCACAGAATTTTAATTTATATACAGGGTGTTCACTGTTCACGTTGTTAGATCGTTTTTCTCGTAAACGATAAGAGGAATGAATGAATGGTTCAAAACGAACAACATATTCACAGTATTTTTTTCGCAAGCGTAAAGATCTGTGTGCGTTTTGCATACGTCGAATCATCTCGTCATTTTATGAAAAAACCTACAGTGTTGCGGATATTTGTAGACTGAAACACATTTTCTGCGTTGTTGCTTCAAGACTGATAGAAGAAATAAGAGACAAAGTGGAAACTTACAAGAAAATTAACACTGAGTT